GTTCAAAATAGTTAAGTTATATATATTATAATTGTATAATAATTATATATGCCCACCTATACTAAAGATCAACCGAACGTAGTGTGACGTATGAGTTACACGAAACCCGAGTGAAGCAGCCAAATAAATCTAAGGGATCAGGGGATACAGAAGCCCACTTGAGAAGTCCCGAGTAGAGAGGTAGCACAGATCTTTGATGGCGCTATGTAAAGGATTATCATCTGGAAAACCGGACACTATAGACAAACTGAACGAGGACCGAATGTTTGGCAAGCACTATACCAACCAAACCGTCAGACCAGCTGGAGAAAAAAGGATTCATTCAGAATACCAGAGAACACCTACTAGTCCCTCCTGGACCATCTGGATTAGAAGTTTGGGTACCGACGGTTGGCATTGAAGTACTGTTGATAGCCCGTAAAGTGGGTGCTGGGGTTTGGGTGAACTTTGCAAGGGCACAGAGTAGGTAATGGTAGCAGAGGTAAAAAGCTACAAGTACTTGGCTATGGCCTAGGCATAAGTTACTGAAAATCTAGGTGATATATGTGTGGGACATGGACCGCTCTGGTAGATTTACCACAAGGATAAAGGACCCCCTATATGGTAGTGTGTGTCTGCTTTAAAGTCCTAAAGGGCTTACACAGCAGTTTCTTTTTGATAAGAATATCCCGATAGTGCTAAGTTGATCAGAGGGTTTAATTAAGTAACTTAAGTAATAGTAGGTTACAGATACGGCATCTAGTGTAGTTCATATGAATTACATATGCAAGACTGCTTAAATAGACAACCAAAAGTTGTACATATGGCTAGAATATATTCTCGTTAATGTAACAAAGTCAGGGGTAGCCCATGTGATTACACTAGCATTCGATCCAAAGTTCAATAAAATGTGCCAGACCCCAAAGTGATCACCTTAACATTAAAAAAAAAATATATATATTTTTTAAATCAAAATAGTCCTAGTTTCATAAAACCAAATTAGCAATTGTCTTAATAAAATTTTGAAAAATTAACTTCTAGAATTATAACTCTTTAAATTTTAACTGTTTATAAATATCTTTGATTTTTATAAATTTTATTAAGTTAATCGATTGTGTGTATTAAATAAAAAATATTTTCTAATCAAAATAGCTTTAGTTTCATAAAACCAAATTAGTGATTATCTTAGTAAAATTTTAAGAAAATAGCCTCTAAAACTATAACTCATTAAATTTTAGCCATTTATAAATAACTTTGATTTTTATAAAATTTTATTAAACTAATCGATTTTGTATATTAAATAAAAAATATTTTTTAATCAAAATAGCTCTAGTTTTATACAACCAAATTTGCAATTGTATTAATAAAGTTTTGAGAAAATAGCTTCTAAAACTATAACTCTTCAAATTTTAGCTATTTATAAATATAGTATTTTTAAATCAAATCAAATATTGGATCTTTTAATTTGAATTTAATTTGATTTAAAAATCTACTGCATATTTGAATTTGATTTAAAATTAAATATTTGAATCAAATCAAATCAAATACAAAACCTTACAATTTAGTTATATATGCAACTTTAAATTGCCTATTTAAATAGTCTACCTGAAGGTTTTACATTAGTTGCTATACTTGTATTCTACTTGAAGATTATCTATTTAAACTCTCTAATCATACATATTCACCAATTATTTAAAGCAAGGTACTCTTATATCAAAATTTCCTACTGATTAGTGAATAATCCTTCACTATCTCTTATTGCCAGTTTCTGACCTTTATAAAATTCATTTAAATATTAATTTCTACTTTATAGCATATCTTTAATACTTTAGTACCCCATTTACAAGTCTTTCCAAACCCCAATTCAGATAACCTGAAAGAACTGTGACCTGTTTCTAGTATGTAGTACTGAACTACATCCTTTTCCTCTAGTGACGGTAGACTGGTGGTCTGGTTGGTGTATAAAACATCAAAGCATTAAAACAAATCCTACTTAAAGAAATTTCACTGACCAATCAGATTTCAAGATCTGGTGTGATACATAAATCTAGCAAAAATTATAAACTTCCAGATTGGCCAATCAGGGCATCTGTGAAGATGCTAATGAAACTCAGTATTGAAATCAATTTGACGTTGTAAAAGAGGTCACCGGTTTTTATAAACAACAAAGACTAGGCTACTCGAAAGAAGGCGTGGAAGATTTGACACTAGGGTCCTTGGATTTGGCAGTCTTTATTATGATTTATTTGCTTATTATCTATTTGCTCCCGTTAGTTACATGAAATCAAGGAGCTTTTATACATTATGGGCTTTGCTACTTCATTATAAGTAATATAGCTAATTAGAGTATCGATCTATGGCTAACGATAAGCAATTCATACTCATTTACATGACAATGACTTTAGTTCCCACCATATGAATACCAGCGACGCCTTACTATTGTTCTCAATGGAGCATCGCCTCAAGCCAAACCCGAATTTAGTATTATTAAATGTCTTCGCTTTGTCGATCAATCTGCATTTCGGGTCCCGAGTCATGTGGCTGCGGCTATAGAGGCGGGTCTTATTACCCCGTTACAACTACAACGTCGGTTAGTTGGCAATGTTCACGTGCTTTCTACTAAATAACCAAGTCGTTTGGCGATTTGGTCGACATAAGCTGACGGATAAATAGTTATTTTTATTAACAAAAAGCAATAAATAAATGAATAAAAAGTATATTGTAAATTAAAATTTGTAATCGTAACCAATTATTAAATATCGATAAAACTTATTAGAAGTTGTATAATATATTTATTTGGATTTCGTTATATTTATTGATTAAATTATTTAATGATCAATTTGAATTATATTATCAGTATCACGATATTGCAAATCCGTTGAAAATTTCCGAAGCTGGTAACATGTATTATAGATACATCCTTTTCGAACTATAGAAACCTTTGTGATTTTGGTGTTTTTAAATGTATTTTTCATGTAAACATGATCAATAATACTTTGGTAATTTAAATAAATAGCTGGTCAAACGAATTTCTATCTATCATGCTAAGTTTATTAATATATATTTATTTTTTATATCTTACAAAATATTGAAAATCAGATTCGGCATTTGGTTCTGAACCAAATCATGTTTAACTTAGGTTTGGAATTTATTATATAAAAACCTGATTCTTGGTTTTCAATTTGGAATCTAATGGTTTTAAAACCTAAACCAAACCTAAACTGACTTTGCCATCCCTAAGTACCATAGAATCGTAAGCTACGATCTAAACCACCAACTACCAAATATTTGGCTAATTCTCCGAATTTCATATCCGTAATTTCTGCGGTATTCTCGGACATAACCACAAGCTCATTCCATGTTTTAGATTGATAAATTCTAAGAAAATATATGTATATATATATGAAATATAAATAAAGATGGTTCATCATTTAATAATCAAACGAAAAATAATGACCAACAAATACAAACCTCATGTCAGTTCCACCAACAGCTAAATAATGACCACTATAGTCCCATACAACCTTATTGATCTTTCCTTCATCAATAGTCAGAGTATGGAAATTCGATAATTTTCTAAGGTCCCATAATTTTACCAGATTATCCTCTGATGCAGTTGCTAAGAAATAACCATTCTCCGAGAAAGAAATCGATGTGACGCGACCAGTATGACCAGTAAAAGATGCAACATTTTGTTGAGATTTAACATCCCAAATGCGAACAACGGAATCGTTCGTTCCTGTTCCCAGGATGAGACCATCTGGATGAAACTCAACGGTCGAATATCCTATATTTCAAAATTCGAAATTGTCCAAAATTAAATAAAGTTCGCAAAATTCGATCATAGGCAAAAAAATAAACAAATAAATTAATTTAATAATATACCATCGTTTACTTCGTTACTTTCTACCTTAGCCAAAGTTTGTACTGTTTCTATATCATGAAACGCCCATGTAGAGTCATGTGACACTGACACCAAATAATCTTTTGTGGCGTGTATGGCAATACCAGTGACGTCACTAGTATGTGATGTAATTGTCTTCTCCGTTTTGTATCCTAATATTTAATATTTGATGAAATGTAAAGAGTATGTCATAAAATTGGAAGATATATCAATCTGAAATTTCGGTAATTACAAACCTTTTGTCTGAGGTCTCCAAATTCTGATAGTCTTATCTACACTTGAAGTGAACACTGTGTCCCCTTGCTCAGAATCATTTCTTCCTAACCACAACACATCTGTGATTTTTTTAGTATGACCCTTCAACGTACTCTCAGTTTTATTCCTTTCTCTATTAAATATTTGCGCTTTCTTATCGTTTCCTCCAGTAAGAATAAGATTTTCAGTTTGGTCAATATCTAAACAAGTTATTCCTGAACTGGTGTGGTATGCATAGATGGAACAACCGTTATCTGTGTAAACTCTTCAATTGTATCAGCAGGGGTGAGATCTTTTCTTACGCGCTTTTGATAAACTTAATTGGTAAAATATTAATTAATTTCGTATTGTATTACAAGTGTACATATATATATATATAATATCAAATAATTTGGCATACTTGGCGCTGGTTTCATTTAATTTTTCAATAACTACATCATTCACTCCCTTTTTCTCCTCTTCTACTTCCATTGCAGCATTTGCTTCTGATGCAGTTGCGTCTGAAGGAGGTTGTACAGCAATATGAGCTTGAACATTTGCCAATGCTCTAATAAAATAATTACCGTATAAGCGCGTAACGCTCACGGGCGTTATTTCGAAATCTGGACCCCCTAAAATAGCAAATAATATCTCAAATTAGCGCCCATGGGCGTCCCGAATTAACGCGCGAAGACAAATTAATTTAAAAAATTTTATAATAGATCTTATTAAGAAATTGCCCTGGAAATAAATAATAAGATTTTGTAAGATTTGGGTAAATTTGATTTGCATAAACAAAATTTTGGGAGACTTGTTAGTAACCAATAAAACCACTAAATTTCTGAAGTCCGGACACAGTAAACTTGATTATCTCAAAATCATTTTTTTGGGCTCTTTCTACTACAAGGGCCCCATCTTATAGTCGTTTTTTAATTTCATCTTTTCATTTAGTTAATAATCATAATGAACTGATTTTTAGTGGGTATTTCATTAATAATTTTGGTGGTCATGCTAGGAGGTGTGAAGATTATATAAAATGGGATTAAGTTCAAGTTTTCTTAAGTTTCGTTATTATTTATTTGATCGAGTTCAAATGCGGACTATACAGTATGTTGCTGAATAGCATTTAGGCGGTGCTCATATTACAATATGTCAATGCAAAAAAAGATTAAAATTAGAAGCCATCACTATTTCGAAAGAACTCATTTTATTTGTACAACGATTCAATTTTTTCACATGATGTCTGGTGGATTTCTATTGGTTGGTATATTAAAAAAATAAGATGGGTGGCGCGAAGCGCTACCCATCGCACTAGTGTAATTTAAAGCATATGAGTGCGTGAGAGTGAAAACCTGGAAACCATAGTAAATCATTAAATCGGTTTTCAGGTTTTCACTCTCACGCACTCATATATAAATAAGCTACCAGGTGATTAATTTATAGATGAACTTTCTCTTAT